CTTTTAGGTATCATTAGAACAGTCTATTTTAATATCTCTGAATGTTAATTTATCAGAAGAAATCAAACACCAGTGCTGGATACCTGGCAATTCAGGGCTTGCACCATATTGCCATTATTCAGACAAACAGACAGGGTTCATGTGCTTTACTGGCTGTTTATTCCCTACTTCCGTAATGATCTAAGAACACCACTAGATCTAAAGTTCAGTTCTTTGTCCCAGAAAGTGGGAATGTTGCATGTAAACCTACTGTTTGCACTCTGGACTTTTCACGCATATACTGCCCATTTCAGTAAATTTTCCTTCTTTCACAAACTTCTAGTTTGTGATTCTTCCTTTAACAATAACATGATGTTGTGGCCAGTCACAGTCCTTCCCAGTTCCAATTCAAATCCACTAAGTATTAGAAAGAATATGTAGTTATTACTCGTTAGGCAGAAGTAATGCTGGCTCTCTGGACTTTTGGTAATTTAGTACTTTAAAGGAAGTTAATCTCAAAGATTTAGGGCAGTTTGCATTAACAAGAAGGTGTGGACACAGGTATACACAGGTGAGAGACTGCCTGAAGGGAAGGCGCAGAGATGAATAATCTGTACGCACAGCATTCTGGCTCAGAAACTCTCAAAACACAGTCCTCCCCAAGAGGAACAATTGGAAAAGACAGACAAAATGATGAAAAATGAAGGGATCAGCAAAAATCAGACCTAATATAAACCCAACTAAAATAAACTCAGCATGGCTCCTGTGGCTCATTCAAAAGAAGGTCTCTGTGAGAGTTCATTTGCAAGAATTCAGTTCACAGAAGAATAAAGATAGAATCTAACTTCCTCTATTGTGTGCCATTAGGAGCCACTGGCAAATCTGGCTGACAACATGAAGAGGTTTTTAAAGAGAAAGACTGAAGATTGCAATAGTACCTACCAGACTGCATCACAGGAATCGTGACATCTCCAGCCAGAAGTGTCAGTGTGCCTAAATACTGGGCTCAAGGGTTTGAGAGAATTAAGATTATTTTTTCAATTGAAGTAGGGAACGAGAGCTCTGAGGAGTACTTGTCTGAATTAAAAAAAAAAAAAAAAAAAAAAAAAAAAAAAAAAGCCGGGTTTTTAAAAAAA